TCAGCACTCTCTTGATGTCTTCCAAGACAGCTTCATCCAGAAGCGATGACGAGTTTATATTCCCGTCCGGTCGTACAATGACCACTTCGGCCAAATCGCCTGCCTTCAAGGCACTGCCGGACTCTTCAAGGGACAACTCGTCTTACTCAAGAAGAGCATCTACTGCAGGCATAGCATGGAGCCGGACGTCGCCATCTCCCCGCTCCCTTCATACCGTTGACGAGGGTGTATATCTGTGCTCCGTCGTCTACGGTAGACACACCGTGGATCAGGGTCGACGCCCGGCGTCTTGCAGCCAGCATAAGGCGTCGCCGTCGCCTCTGTACAGATGTTCTATGTCTCGGTGATACCAGGGTGAACACGCACTCAGCGTCGTCCGGTGTCACCCTCAGTTTTCGCTCCTTTGGAGCTTCGATTTTATCTACAACATCCTACGAAAAACTGCTAACCACGCAGTCTTCGTCCAGTGGAAAACGTGCCACTCCACGCGCATCTGAAAAGCCCGCACACAAGATGCCTCGGACTTTGTCCGACCACGCCATCAATGGCATACAGCGACTGCTTCGCAACAAAAGCAGTGCTCAGTCGTTTTCGTGCAACTCCACGCGCATCACGAGGGCCTTACCCTTGATGCCTCGGCCCTTGGCGGACCATGTCACGCATGACATGCAGCGACTGCTTTGATACTCGAGCAGCGCTCAGTGATTTATGTGCCACTTCACATGCATCACGAGGGCCTCGCTCTCGATGCCTCGGTCCCTGGCCGACCATGTCACGCATGACATGCAGCGACTGCTCCGAAACATGAGCGGCACTCAGTGGGTTACGTGCCACTCCCCGATCAGCCCGCGAGCCAAGCTCGGGACTCTTGTACAATGCACCGTTGGTGTCTACCAACTCGGACATTCCGATATCTAGCACGTTGATCGTCTCGGTCCAGCGCTCTCGCCAGTAGCGCTTTTTTCTCCTGGCAGAGGAAGGTTCATGACTCGCCAAAGCTCCACCAGAAGACGTGGGGTAGTGCCCAAAATCTTCGAACTTCAATCAATCCATGGATCATGGTGTTCCAACCATGCCACTGCAAGGATGAGGCCATACCCTGCACCCAAGTCTAAGACTAGACAGCGTTCCACGCTATCAAAGTCAAGAAACTTGACTCCGAGGTCCACAGGGACCTTCGTAACCGTGAACGTGCCCCCGTCGCTAAGCGAACAGTACGATGTCACCCAACCGTGCTTTCAGCGCCCTAGCATACGGCTGACTTTCCTCCATCGTGGAGCGTCGAGCACAATTACCCGACGCCCCAGAATCGATGAGGATCTTCCATGGTTTTTCGAAGCCCTTCACGGTCGCCTCAACGACCGGCAAGCCCGGCTTGCACACACGTTCCGTGTTCAAGAGCACGGAGCTCTTTGGGGCTGAGCCCTGTTGACCTATGCCTCCCTGAGGCTCAACAGAACTCAGTTTTTCCCCAGTAGATCGCCCCCGCCTACTGAGTGGTGTCATTTCCCTGCGACAAAGTAGACTGGTGGGCGTTGGGGCGATGGTTTGAAGAACCTTGACGTGCCTTGCGCAGGGGGCAACCGCTCCGAAGGTGACAGGTGTCTCCACAAACAACAAACCGTCGAATGTGTGTATGCTGCCCGGCAGCTCGGAGCTCTGCTCCCTCTTCCTCAGCAAAGCTGAGATCCATGGGCATAGACCCGCTCGACGAGCTGTTGAAGTGTATTTTCCAACCAAGTCGTGCCGACTTGAAATTAAATTCTGCATTATATGCCG